AAAAGATAAGAAAATTGTTGTAATTTACGTATCAACAAAATAATGGTCATTCATATTAAACATTCTCTCAATAAAGGCATCTTTATTGATACACGAGAAATCGCTTTGAACGCATAGTTTAACGTCGGATGGAATTATCCATGATTTTATCTCGTTTAAATCTTCTAGATTTTGATTAAAGCTTTTATCCTGCGCTTATACTGGATGATACGTATGTACAACATAAAAACGTAAAAACAGCGCGGCGTCACGTATTTTCTCACGAGCGACTTGACGAAGCAGTCAGTAAGCCGCAAGAGAAACGAGTTCGTAAATCCGAAAAAGCATGTTGACACATCGGTTGAGCGCCGATCATGCCGCAGCCGTTACAATAGCAAAGCTATGTATCGGGTATCCGCGAATCATGCAGTACGTACACCTCACGTGTAACGCGTCACGCGCCACGCATACGCCACATAGATTACACGTTAAGCCAGCCGATAGGACTCTAAGGCGAGATGGGCAACTAAGCCCAGCGTGCGTCACAAGGCGACACATTCTCATCATATCTTAGAACAATGTCAGCTATGTAAATTGCCAAAATCTACGTACAATTCGGTCTAATCCACTCCATGTTGTGTACTCTTTTCAGAATATACATGAAAAGAACACTTTTAAATAAAGCATCAAAAAATTTAGTTAGATATAGAACTGTAAATAATTTTAGAATATTAAAATATAATTACAAGTATAAAATTATGATTTAACAAAAGGCTTTAAAATTAAATTTACAAGAAAACGTATATATTAAATATAATATAGGTACAGATGTTTCAACCCTCGGTATTGAATCCTCTTCGGTATATAAGATTTAATCGTTTAATTTTCCTTCTTCTACTCTCTCTCTCTCTCTCTCTCTCTCTCTCTATAATATGTTACGGAATTTAATCTTATAAACTGAAGAGGACCCAATACCAAGGGTTGAAACGTCTGTACCTATTATATTTAATATATGCGTATGTATTACTACACATGAATAATCTGTGTCGGCTCATATTGATATTATTTATTGTTTTTTTTCCTGCGAGTCAAAATAATTATGTAGGATGTTGAAGCTAAAAGCGATATTAAGGTTGTTAAAAAGGCAAAGCTTTGCTTAACTTATGCTTGAACGTTCAATTACAATTATTTTTATCTATATTCAGCTAAATTTTTAGATATTTTAATAAAATAGTTCTTTTCTGTGAGTTGAACGCTTCCATTTCATCAGAGCACTTATTATAATATTTCAAAAAAAGCAAATCTGTACAAAATGGATGATTGCACAGACAACCCAATACTTATAAAATATTTACAAAATATTTTATAAATATTTATAAGGCTTATTTTAAATATCTTATAAATATTTTCGTGGTCTTAAATTGCATAGATTAAAAATATTTATTATAAATATTATGAAATATTTATCTATATTTATCATAAATATTACATTAAATATTTAGTCCATCTTTTAATAATATTTCGAATAAAGCTTTACATAAAATATGTATATCATATTTATATAACATTTAAAAAAATGAATAACAAATATTTATGCTGTCTGGGATTGTATTAAATAAATAAAAGCCTTTGTTGGATATTTTTGCAACAAGAAGAAAATAAAAGAAGGGCGCAGAACGATTAAATATAAAGTTCTTTTGACGAGCATATTTGTCCCACTTTTTAAATTTATTGGAAATATTTTTAATTTATAGCATCCTATATTTATGTTCAATTGAAGAAAACTCGTTTGAGAAATTGTGTTTTTGGATGGCCATTGTCTAGGATATATAAAGCATTAAAACCGCGAACACTGAAATAACCCACGAATATCGAACGATGTTTAATTTACATCCCACTTGGCTCGAATGCTTACTTGAATCCTTAATATCTACTGGCGCTAATTCGACTCAACAGAGTTGTATGAGTTTCTCATCTTTGTTCTCTCTCTCTCTGTCTCTCTGTACGGCACTGCGATGGTTTAGCGATTGTGATGAGAACGCGTTCCGGCGTAACGGTAGAGACAGTCGGAAAGACAGGCAGTACCCTACCAGATCTTACCACCTTGCATAATGCATCGCGCGACGCCACTAAGTCAAAGGGGAAACTTCCCTGACGTGAAACGCCAGGAACACATACGTCCCTCTTCCATTCCTCTCTTCCTTCCTTATTGTTCAGCAGCTCGTTGCAAATCCCTCTATTGGGTTTCAACCTGCTTTATTCTCTCTTGACTATTTCCATCTTTCACAATGCATCAATCTCATTATTCGTTAATTGCCGAAACGTTTATCGATCTGTCGTCATCTGTCACGGATTTTATAGACATACGTGAAATTATGACCGATGCGACATGTTAATCTATAGTGAATGAACTGTCTGGCTGCCAGAAACACGTTTGAGCTATTGTACCATGGCATGAATGAAATGGTCGAATTGATTGGGTCGAATTGTTTACGTGTAAAAATTCCCTCCGTATCAATTATCCATATCAGGATATAAAAACTCGTACAAATTTTTCATGCAAAGATAATTGAAGTTTTAATCAAATTGTTACGCATTAACGCGATCGAGTATGCGTGACTTTCGTACAGCCGTTCACTTCGAATTTGCCTGCGTTGAGTTCCACAGATGAGAGCACAGTGCGGTACGTTAATTCCAAAATCCCGTGAAACACTTCGACCATCGTCATCTCGTATGTATCACGTCGTAGTTGCGTAGACGCTACGTGCGGACGGTGGTATAGTAATCTACTTCACACGAAGTTTCAACCAAGCTCGAGTTAAGTCGGCCGTGTCGAGTAAGCCCCCCCGGTGTTACCATGGCTGATGAGTCCGGGACACTTTAGGGTACGGTTACCGAAAGACGACACGTTCTCTCGCATCAAGATAGAAAGTCACTCCGCTGACTTCGGTACAGCGTATCGGCGATCACTTCTTGATACCGGCTTTCCGGACTCCAATTATATCGTTGATAGCGTCAGGATTTTCGTTTGTCACGCAAAACTGATATTCCATTTATTTTAACAAAAGGTTGAATTTGATTTTAAACACTGGGCACTACTTAATTCTTTTTTTTTTTTTTTTAATGAAAATTTGCATTTTATAAATTTGATTATTCTTAGATTTATTTTGAAATCTCTTTTCTTTTGTAACATGAAATACTATAAGTCTATATTTAATGCGAAGTTAGTAATAGTTTTGTCGAGAATTAAATAATAGTTTTTTGAACTTTAGGATTTTAGAGATACATACGTATATTTCTGACTGGCAGTGAATTATTAATTATTACAGAATTGGGATTAAAAATTTCATTTAGAAAGCATTAATTATTTGTGTATTTTGAGTCTTAGACTGTGCAATTTGCTGTAAGTAGATCTATGTGTTGTTTCTGATAAAGTTTTACATATGTAGGTATTATTAATATGGAGCTGAATTAGTTAACTCCATATAGTCTCATGTTCTACATTTTATATGCGTTACTAGAAGTGCGATAATCATATAACTTTGTGTCATACCACTAGTTAACTTACAAGGCTTAGAACTGAGGAGAGTATGTACTTCGTAAATGCGCGCTTTGGTACTACATAATGAACTTTTAGTGGTCATACAGTTTAACGTTAATGATATCTTACAATGAAACTTTAATATGCCCCTACATTACTTTAAATCTTCGTATATTTTTATTATTTATTTTTCTGAAAGATTTTTAATCAATAAAAATGTAGTTTTTTTATACAATATGTTGTATCGCTTACTGCTATTGTATAGCAATAACAGATCTGTTTCCAATCTCACGTACAAGAATGTTAAATCAGTGTCCCAAAATATATTTGTACCGCCGCGATCGATTAAATTATATGGAACAATATATTAGATACTATCTTCAGCATAACATACGCGTATTTTTATATCTGATTTAAATATGTACTTGTTCTATTCTAAACTATTGAAGAAGTAAAAAAAATTAATATATTTACATCTTTCCAATGTGTTTATTAAAGCTTTGATATTCATTACTGTGTATATATGTAATTGTAATATGATATTTTGTTTTTCATAATAATTCAGCTAAATATTGTTTACAATAAATTTGTTTATTTAAATTATATCGCACAATTGTTATATATGTATACATTGAATTTGTGTTTAATTTTAATATTGCTGACAAAGAAATACTAACGATATTTGTCACAATATTTTCAACTTTTTAAAGTTCCTTTTATTTAATTGTTACGGATTAAAATTAATTAACCTTTAATTAGTCGCGCGGAGTCACCGCGACTCAAAGTCATTTTATTTTCGTAGTACTTTAATATAACTTTGTAGCTTAAAATAAAAAGTATATATATATTTTTTATTATATTGTTATTTTTTTTTTCATTTTATTTTGTAAGTAATTAGCGACCGCGATGTGAGTATTTTCGCGCAATTACATAAAAAGTTAAAATATAATTAAAGGAAAAATCATATTACTTTTTTCTAATTTTAAAATTTGTCAGTAAAAAAATTAAAGAGGGAACTCGAGAATGACATTAATATCTTGACAGCTTTTATAAATGTGATAAAATTATATGAAATAATTTTACTTTTTGATTTAATTATTATGTGTATTAAATATGATAATTTAAAAAATGCACTCAAGTTAATATTATAATTAAAATTTTTATTATTAGAACGATATATTATATATAAGTTTATATTATTATTAGCAAATACGGAGTGATTTAATATTGCGTTGTATTATAGAACAGTTGATTTATTAATGTCGTTTTAAAATAAGTTTACATTTTCTCATTATGATAGTATTGCTAATTTAACACAATCTTGAAACTAAAAACAAATAAAAATTGGAATAATAACTAAATTGAAATACAAGCGATTTAATATTTTTTAGAAATAACAAAGAAATTTTTATTTATGATTTACAACAAACAAAAATTGTTTATTTTGAATTATAATAATATTTTTTTACATTGAAAAATTTCAAGATTTGCGATAGGAATAAAGTGCAGTATTGTTTAAGATAATACGTATAATCTGGATGATAATCAATGCAATTATACATTCTATTACAAATAATACTATGGCGAACAATGCAATAATATCCATATCGTAACGTTGATACCATGGTTTATCGCTGTCACTAAATCGAAGATGATTTGCTTCTTTGTGACGCATTACATATTCTATCCACCATATTACATTCTCAGTGCTGTTATATGGTTGATCCTTGGAGAGAGAACTTACACGCATCATTTTTTCTTTGTAACTACAAAATAAATTAATAAATTATTTGTATCAGTTTTATTACATTTATGTATTATGTAAAAATTTTATATTAATTTAATACTAAAACAAAAACTGATTGTAAAATATAACTTATTTTAACGCATCTCTCTCTCTCTCTCTCTCTCTCTCTCTCTCTCTCTCTCTCTCTCTCACGCTGACTGTCAAAGGAGTTTTGACAAATATAATCGCCATTTTATTATGATATTTACTTTCATATGAACAAAATAACAAATATGTGAACAAGATATCTAATTTATTGTAAAATATATTCATTATATGTTACAACTTTTGAATATGATATCATAATATAAACATAAACGAATGATCATACAGTAAGAGATTACTGTGTGTATACGTGTATATATATTTGTATGTACATGGCGTATGACAATTCATTTATATTACAAATGTATGTTTGAAAATTATATTGAAATTTACAAACTAGCCTGTTAATCGTAATTGAATGAAAATTTGCGTGTCAAATATTTGACGTAACCATTAATGTATTATGTATATATAATACCTTTTATCGTTGAGGATTTGATGAATAGCATTATTAAGACGATTTTGAGTTAATTCATTTAATTTAATACTTATTGCGACGCCCAACGAGACCAATCGCCGAACTCGATTTTCTTGTTCGGACATACTCGGAATTCCTAAAAGTGGAACTGCATAATGGACAGCTTCGTCGGTACTTTGGGCTCCCCCTTGATAAATAAACAGCTTGATGTTCGGATGAGCTGCACAAACGAGATAATTAGCGCCGCGTGTCGTATAAATGGACTATTGATCGTGAAGTAATGACTTCACACTTTTAATTTTACCGAGTACGCTTTGCTGTAAAAACCATTTTGAGATAAATGCATTATCGAGCTTTCCCGGTAACTCATCGCACTCGAATTTCCAAACTATTTTATAAGGTAACTTCGAAAACACTTCAACGAAGTTCCTCAGCGTTTTTTTCGGTAAAGTGTGGCAGGTGGTAACAGTTCCAAGACTCACGTAAATAAATCCTTCCATTGCGTTATCTAGGAATTGTCCTAAGTCCTTGTCACCAGATTTAAATTCATTACGCATGTTTATTACGAAATAATGGAAGTTAATAATAGACAAACAATTTCGATATAATGTTTAAAAAAATATTTATTTTTTAAATTTATATACTTTTGGTAAAGATGGTGGCGTTTTCTGTATGTGGATACCATAAAAAAATACTGCATTTGACTGCTCGGGTCTAGGATATGTGAGTACTGGATTCTCGTTAACTAATAGCAAACTCATATTCTTTATTATATCGACGATGTATGGTGCATCGTTTCCAAAACATTTTTTAACGATTTCTTGTTCCATCGTTATAAAATCATTAATCCAATAATGGATAAAACCCCACGTTTCGATAAAGTTCCACAGTCTTTGCCAAATCGACGGATTTTCCTCAGTTAGCTCATTTATTTCCCAATTTGACAAATGAGATGGGTGTAAAGGACTGCCAAAAACATATCGATGATAATTGTGTATGCCCATGGATATAATTCCTAGATAATCGATTAATCGATATCAGTTCTTTTTTCCACTATACATTTCGAGTATCTTTTAAGAGAAAAGATCAATACTTTTACGCTTAGAGCAATACATTCCTCAAAATATTGACGGTTAGGTTTCTTTTTATAATATGTTATTTACAAGCTATCTTATATACGTTACCTGCAGAAATCATCTTACCTATAAGAGGCGCGTTAAATCTATACGACATAATAGATAATGACGGATAAGCTATTGACTCTAGAATAACCGCGTCGAACTTTTCATTGCTATTACTATGATAAAGTTTTTTCAATTTTGGGTTATCAAATATGATTATGCTCATTTTATATGTTAATGTCCATCCGAACTTGAGTAAGTCGGTTATTGATACTTGTCGTTGTACGTTTTCTTTATATTGTTTTATCAAGTAATCTAAAGGCGGCAATTCTATTTCTGTATAGTTTGTTAATGTCGAATCTTTTATCGATTGTGGAGTTACTACAACCAGTTCGTGTCCGCGTCTGTTTAAGGCTAAACACAACGACTGGAAAACTAGTTGATGACTATAAAGAGGTGTAGGTATAATTACAAGTATTCTTCCGGCATTTGTTATATTATTCGCCAATAAAAACCACAAAGATAAAACAATAAACATTTTACAAGTAATCTTCAACATTTTGCCACTAATTCGCGAATGCCTTTTTGAAGCAGACTGATTTATAGAAATTACGAGTTACTTGCATGAAGTTTAAAATATTATCAAGTTAGTTATCACGGTTTATTTATATTAATGATATCCATAAGAATGATCGACATTATGAAAGAATTGTGAAGCAAGCGTCTTTCTGGGTGGGTAATATACATTATGTATATTATTTAAATGTAATTATCTTAATATATGTATTGTATTTAAATATATGTATCTAGAATGTGCTTATATATAGAAGAAAAGCCCCTATTATGAGATACCGAGTTTACTTTGAGTAAATGTTAGAATTAATCTATGAGCAGAATTTAAAAAAATAATAGGTCATTTGGAGAGAAATTTAATAAGCTGTAACATAATGTTATATAAAATTTAATTCAAATTTTATTTTTTTTTTTGAAAATTAAGGAAATGTAAAAAGTGAGCAAATCGTTAAGTCAAAAAATTGTGCTTCTAATATAAGATGTCCCGAGAAATCAATAGTAAAACGTAAAGTATATCAGTATTGCAATTAAAAAACTTCATTTAATGTTTCTAGAATACAAACAAACACAGCCAGTGTGCGCAAAAAATGAGCATGCGATAGAAGATTGTATCCAGAACTCATCTTCAGGTAGTTCGAATCAGAAATAGGCACTCGACGTTCTGGTTGTTCTTTTTATTATTGTACAATAACATTTGTACTTTAGCAACGATTTTCACTACGACATAGGAGTATGGGTTATTTTATATTAGAAATACCCTGAGTATCTCATATTACGATTTTCACGTCTTACGGTTTTACGAGCATCAAATCTAACCTTTTCAATTAAGCAATTCAACATATCTCGTATTTTTCTATTAGTATGACCTTATTCTATCACTACATGAAGAATTTATTGTCAAATATTTATTTATTAAATAATAAACAAGATTTAATAGCTCATCTCAATAAAACTTGAAGATATCCACATTCTAAAATTATTTTTTACAATGACACAGGCACGATCTAATAATGAACTTTCTACTAAATAGTTTTCAATCCAAGACTAATAAATTTATGGTAGAACCAATAGATAGTGTTTATTAGTTTAGCAGAAACGCCGCTATCTTATATTAGGCGCTTATCTCATAATAAGGGGGCTTTCCTCTAAGATAATAATAATAAAACATATAACAGTAATAAAGCTCATTACATTTAAAAAACGAGATAAAGAAAAAAGACTATGAGCCAAGAATTCTATCGTTATAGGAGTTAAAACGTTGATAGATAAACAATGGTATCCTTTTAGATAAAAATATTGTAAACTTTAATAAAATGTGCTAGCTACAAATAACAAACGGTTTGATCGGATTATTATCAATGTTAACATATAAATTAATCAGAAGAGAGAGAGGGGGGGAGGGAGAGAGAGAGAGAGAGAGAGAGAGATGAAACAAATATAAAAATGTAAAAATACTTCGCTCTCTCTAACTAACGCTGGTATCAAAACACCTAAGAAAAGAGATATGGTTTTCACTCTCATCGCATTGTCTCTATTTTATAATTAATTTTCTTTAAACATATTTTAATTATTTTTGACTTAGAAATGTTGACTTACATTAAAGATCACAATTCAAGTTAATTAATTATTGATACCAAATTTGAACAATGCGTCGACAAACTCCAAGTTACAATTTAACTGCCAGCAGGACTAAAGTGCGTTTCAATTATTGTTACTAGCGTTAGTTAGAGAAAGCGAAGTATTTTTATATTTTTATATTATATTTGTTTTATTGTTTTAATGATTAATTTATATTAATTATGATAATTTATATTAATTATTGATAATGATTCGATCGTGATCGAAACGTTTGTTATTTAGCTAGCACATTTTATTAAAGTTTACAATATTTTTAACTAAAGGATATCATTGTTTATTTACTAACGTTTTAACTTCTAAATTATAAAGATACAATTTTTGACTCGTAACCCTTTTTCTTTATCTCGTTTTTAAATAATAATAAATATTTTCAATTTGATGTTTAATTGTACTTTCACATCTGATGGAAAAATACATGCGCAGTGCGTTATGTGTATTATATTCTTTTTGTCATTTACGTGTTATCTAAAACTTGTAATCAAGATACTGATTACCGTTTTGTGAGATAAAACAATGCTACATATACTATTATATATAAACACAATACATATAGTCGCGAAATTAATTGTTTCGGACATTACGCCATTATATGTATGTCAATATATAAATTTTTCAAACCATAATTATTCAAATGTTAAGAGTTATAGTTCCACGCACACATTATGGTACTGATAGTTTCACAATTGTTGTCTAAATATAAATATAAACTAATATTATATAAATTAGTGCGTAAAACGTCCGTAAAATCACATTTTTTAATTTGCACAATAAAGTTTAAAGAAATCATTAATATAATAGCACTGTCTGACAATTAATTTCGTGACTGTATATTGAATGATGCTTTATTGTTATTAAATACTTTACAAAATATTTTATTTTAATTATAACTTATATAATATAACTTATAATTATAACTTTTATTTAAAAAATTATATGATATAATTTGAAATGATCTTAGAAACTATACATGAAGATAAAAATTTTCAAGATAATTTAATGTAATCATTGTTAGCATAAAGCAGGAATTAATAACGTTACTATATTCTAACGATAAGAACTGATAATAAAACTACCATAGAGAATGCGATATTATTCGTAAGTGAAGTCGTAAAATCAGAAGTAGTGCCCATATAGAAATAAGGAATACAATAAATAGTAGTATGGCGAGAAATCCGATGATGTCCCAGTCATATCGTTGATACCATGGGTCATCGCAAAGATTATTTCGTAAGAAAGGCGTTCCATTTTGACGTATCACGTACTCAATCCATTGTACTGCATGTTGAAGATTATCATACGGTGAATCCCTAAAAATTTTACTCCAACGTTGCATCCGATCTTTGTAACTGAAAATAAAGAATAATATTGTTACATTTTAAGACATAAAACTCTTATGTTTATATTAATATAAATACAAACAGAATGAGTTTATTAATTTGTGATTTACGCGGTATAATATAGTACCTCGCGTTGTTTATAACTTCATGTACAGAGGCTTTAACGGTTTCTTTCGAGATAGTATCAATTTGAAGATGAACTCCAATACCTAGTCGTACTATATTTCTCACTTGATATGTTTGATCCCACATAATGGGAAATCCTATGAGTGGAATCCCGTAATAAAGAGCTTCTTCAGTACTCTGAAGACCACCTTGATAAATAAATAACTTGATATTTGGATGAGCTACAAGTGAAAAGAATGCAAATTGCATGGATTAAAATTATTTCTAAGATAGAGACATAAAAAAATGATTAAACATATAAGATATTTGTATCTATGATTTTACCGAGAATAGTTTGCTGGGAAAACCATTGCAACGTTAGTATATTTTTATATTTCTTAGGTAATAGATCAGGATTCAATTTCCAAACAATTTTGTATGGTAAAGTGGAGAATCCGTCAACGAAGGCTTCAAGCGTATTGTTTGGTAATTCCTCCCAATTAACATTGCTTCCAAGACTGACGTAAATAAATCCTTCCTTCGCATCGTCAAGAAACTGTTTTACATTCTAGTGAACATAACGAGACTAATGGTTATGTAAATGCACAACACAGAGCTATTACATCTCATTTGAGCAGATTGGAAAAAATAATATGTGTGTGTGTATATATATATATATATATATATAAAAAAAAAAATATATATATATATATATTTATATAAGCATGTATGTCTGTAGATATATGTATATATAAATGTACTTTTGGCAAAGTATCCAGTCCTTTTGCAATATGAGAACCATAGTAATATATAACATTTGGTTGTTCGGGTTTGCCATGCACAAACGCTAGATGTCTGTTTACGAGGAATATACTCATATTTCTTGTTATGTCGTTGATATGTGGTAGATCTTCTCCTAAGTACTTCTTCGCGATCGCATCCTCTATAGCAACATGTTCGTTCGTCCAGGAATACATTTGCTTCCACACTTCATAAAAGTTGACAAGTCTCTTCCAAAATGACATGTTTTTTTCATTTGGCTTATTAATTTGCCAATTTGAAATATGCGATGGGAGAATCAGGGATCCAAACGTATAGCGCAAATGATTGAATACATCCAAGCTTGAAATACCTATTTGTCATGTTACCTTTTATTATCTCAATACGAATAATTGTTCGAAATTAAATGAATTTAATTTTTTATAATTTACTTGTTAAAATAGTAGATGGTTTTTTGTTACCTATAAGAGGAGCATTAAATCTGTACGCGAAAGCATTCAGCGAAATTGTTGGACCCTGCGCTATAATAACCGCGTCAAAGTGTTCATTGCTGTCAGCTGCGTATAACTTTTTCACTTCTGGATTTTTAAAAACCTCCTGATTCAGGATATGTACCACATACCATACATTTCGTTCTACTTCTAGAAACGGTAAATTAAGACTCGCCGTGGTAAGACGGACATTTGAATCGAAATATGGTATCGATTTATATTCAGGAAAGCCTTTATAAAAGTAGTTTATGTCAATTTCTGTGTAATTAGTTAAAGAAGAATTTTGTATTGGATTTGTAGTGACCGACACAATCTCGTGACCTTGTTTATGCAATTCTAAGCATAGACCACGATAAGATATTTGATGACTGTATGACGGTATATTTGATATAACTAATATCCTTTTGGCATATGTCACATTATACTGTACTATCACACAGAATGTAATTATTAAGAATGTACACACTTTAGTCCACATTCTTCCAACAATGTTCAGCAAATAGTACTGTCAATGATGTAAATCGCGCTTATATTATCTATGCAAAAAACTAAATTATTTATGAGATAAAATAGTACAATAAGAATCATTTGAAATGCGCATAAAATGCATTTTTAAATAAAACTATTAAGGCTCCTGACTAGTTGCGGCGGCCATGTTGGAATTGTGACGTCAGAAACGAGAAATACGTTAATTTA